CACACAACCTGCAGCATTGTCAGGGGTTGTTGAAAGCCATTCTGTGAAATGTAGGTAACCACTGACTGATGTAGAACTGTTGTACAGCACATGAGGCTAAAAGATTTCATTGCAAAATAAGACTGCAATTCTTTGGCCATCATGAGGTAATGATGTATAATGAGTGTAGTTTTCTTTTTTTGTTACTTTAACAACCTCAGTAATGTCATGTAAGAATGACATCATAAATTTTATTTCATCCTCTTCACTCCTCTGCCAGTAGAAACATGGAAATTCATCTTCACTCAATGAATGTAAGTTAACTGAGCACTAGTCACTGTTTCAGAATTTAATTGCAGTAAGATGTAAATAATATGAAAACATACTTCAATGGAGTTTAAAATCAAGGTTAAATGTAATGATAAATGAGCAGAATGCAAAATCAAATGTCATTAAGTCCGCTATAGACAGGAAGGCCACCAGGAAAGTAACATCTGTGTGTTTTTATTTAGCTAAGTGGAACGGCGTTTACCGATAGGTTTGACCTCACACAACATTTTTATTACTGCTCTTCACTGAACAGTTTGGTTGCATAATCTCATGTTTCCGAACCTTGCCCACCTCTCCATGCCCATATCTTTTTGAGCAGCAACATATTTTTCCTTTGCTGTCTTTTTGTGTCCTCTTGTTCCTCGCTCTTCCAGAGCCGGATCCTGTTTGACAAGTGATCATTTCTTGCCTAATTAGCCTGTGTCTCATTTGAACTGTTTTGAAAATGGTCTGTTTTGCTTTCCCCTGATGAAACACATCATTGCTCTTTTTTTTTTTCATAAAAAAAAACCCATCTGACTGCTGTGCTCTTTTATACACTTGAAAACCTGTTTATTCACAGGCAATGGTAAAATGGCTTTATGTATTAGTTTTTCATTAAATGAATACACCACATATTAGAGATAACTCAGTTTGCCCAGTGGAAAGGATAAAATGTTTTATTTCCACTTTTGGTCTACATTTTATTTCGGTTTCTTTGGTCTTTCTTTATCTCTGTTAATTTCTGTCAAAGTCCTTGTTAAACCTTGTCCAAGGGCCTTGATATGTCAACCACTGCCTTCACCTCAGTTCTCTAACTTAACTTGGAGCACTGTAATGACATTGGCAAAAGAGGCACTCCCCCATTCATTTCTGAAATTACCTTTTCTGTGACCTCCCGCTGAAACCTGCTTTTGCTTTATGAGTCAGCATTGTGTGAGGTTGCACCAGTCAGTTTGGTTTGAAGCTACTACAGATACAGTATACTACAGATCTGTATGACTGTTTCTATAAGTAACCTGTCTAGAGAGGACCTAGACCCTGCCTAGGCTGAACAACTTTCTAAATGCCTAGTAATGATAATAAATCTGAAATGGGGATCCAGACCTGCATCAAAATACAAAATTACAGACAGTCACAGGCACAGAAGTTCATCAGAATATGGTGAAAATGCCTTCAAATGTCACACTGTGTTAATAAATCTATTATTTCTTGATCTGCACCCAGAACTAATAATTTGTTCCTTGACTTACCTCTCTACCAGATTTAATGGAGAAGCTACTAACAGGATATTTGAGATACCCTGCCACTTTCAAATAAATTGGACCAGAAACATGACTTCCTTTTGCAGAGCAGCCACAGCCTACTTGAGCTAGAGAACAACTTTTACTGCTGAGTGAAGAAAAGCCTTCCATTTTGGTTTAAGGTAGCATATCTCTAATTCTTTGACCATATCTCTAATTCTTCAGTTCTCACTTTTCTGGTACCCTGAAGTAAATGCGGAATACTATATACTGTACTGTATGTTGTGCTGTTGCTAGATAAATCAGTGTGTTTATTTTTTCTCAACTAGATTCATTTGCACATTTGTCAGGTGGAATTTTGTTTTTTTGAAATTTGGTTGGCAATCTTTACTGATCAAATGGATGTCTTGCAGATTATCTTTGCACTCAGAGAAAGTTTCTAACATGTATAAGAGTTCAAGATGAAGCTTCCCTCTGATCATAATGTATTGACAGAGGAAAAAGGGGTGTAAAGTGTGTGTGGGTGTACGTGCACCCATGCACTGATGCATGTTTTTATCCCTCTCCCTGTCTTCTCTCAGCTTACACACTAATGTTGTCATTCCTCTTTCTTGGTGCCTCTCTGAAGTCATGTCAAATAGCCTTGGATGGTCAGGGCTGTTTCTCGTCCCTTTTGCTTTTAGAAATCTCAGTGTCTGAATGACATGCTGCCAGACCATGTAAAAGCACGCTTAGCATTTGAAGTTCAGAATAAAAGTTACATACATACTTAGCTGTGACCCAGAGTTTATTGTTGCTGTATGTCCTGAAGAATTTGGTGGGTACACACATCCAAGCAAAAAGCCGACGTATGATGTCACGGTGTCAGTTAGTTCATGAATGTCTGTAGTAGCCATTTCAAAAGCACTCCAGTCTGTGCAATCAAAGCAGGCCTGCAGCTCTGACCTAGCCTTCCTTGTCCACTTCCTCACTGCTGTAGTCACAGGCCTAGCAGTTTTTAGTTTCTGCTTGTAGATTGGGATAAGATGAACGAGGCAGTGGTTACATTGTTAGGCACATTTACAACTAGTGTCATACCTTGCAGTATTGCTTTATTCTCATTAATGCTCTTTTTGTATCCAGCAGTTAATTGTATAGCTCCCTTCATGTACAAACAAATGGCACAACAGAGTTATGGAGGAGGTTTTTCTCTCTCAGTAAACCTTTTAGTTGGCTTGGTGAGGATTAGATCTGAAAAGTCTCTCATTTACCTCCAAAACCCTCAGGGATTCATTGGTGAAGAAATCCTACTTTTCCACTGCATCCATCTGACTTTACTTTGGTATTTGTTTAGTTATTTATTTATTCCTACTGCAGCCCAAGTCAGATTTGTGCTCTCGTTTATACCCTGCAACTGTCTTCTTGATTAATTTAAACTTTCTTTCTTGTGTTTGTTACTGGAGGTATTGCACACAAATTTAGAGATATAGGGAAGAAATGTTTTTGACTGGCTGTCAAGTTAACAAGGCTATGTATACACACAAGGCTATGTATACACAGCTCTCTCTCTCTTTAATTGTTTTTAGTTTGTCTGATCAGGAGCAGTTTCCTTTATGTTACTGAAAGGTGGACTGAATTAAACTGAGTTTTGACAGAGAGACCACAGAGAAAAGCAGGATGAGGGACTTTGTGGAGAGATGATTGGAGTGGAAAGGCAGAGAAATGATCGGTGATATAAACAACATCTACTGTACATCAAACATCCTTTGCTTCTACCTGAGAGAGAGAGGGAGATATGAAGGACTGCAATAAAAGAAAGGATGATGGACTATGATTAGAAATGAGAGGAAAGGCAGAGTCATGGCAAACAACTTCTACATCAGACAACATGGTCCACCATGGCCAAGCTTGGCAAATGCTCTGTCATTCGTGATGGGCTTTCAGTCAGCATGCTGGTTTCCTTTCTGCTGTTTATATGCACCCCAAACTCTCTACACTTACAGAGTGGTTTAATTAGTCTAGTTTTATGTTGATGGTTATATGGTAAATGACAGGGCATGTGACAGTGACCTTGAATGTCTAGTGAGGCCATCCTTGACTGAAGAGGCTCCGGTGTCTTGCTTAGATGTCCTTGAGGGCTGCTGTTGTATGGTTATTCTCCTAGCTCAATGTGGAGGGGGTCAACAGAGGAGCAACATGAATGTTATATCGTCTGGAGTCACTATTTTATTAGCCCTGTGGTTTCATTTGTCTGTAATATCACTGTTTAAGCTCAAAGCCATTGGAAAATCTTTTCACTGAAGTCAGTAATGGTACAGAATTCATAAGCAGACACAATTTGGTTCATGCAGGGGTAAATTCAAGTGGGTCCATTCAAGAAAATCCCTTTTCAGAAACTCTGCTGGTGCATTACAGGATATCTGGCTCACTTGTGTGCTTTTCAGCCATGTTTGGCCCCAAATGGTGTTGACTTTTAAAAGGCTGCTGTTATTGTAAAATCTTAATAATAAAAGCAGCTGTGTGATCTTCCTATCACATTGAATTTATATTGACCATATATAAAAATTGATTTTCACTTTGCAATTCTAAAATGTAGCTTTATTTCTTTATTTATCTATCTTTGCTTGACCTCAGTTTTCCAGACCTTGTATGCAGCTGTGGCAAATCCCTGTGAGGATCCCACATGCTTCTTCTGCAACTGTTCATGCTCAGACTGAAATGCTCTAACTGACAAACACATTGAACCAGGGCTGTGTAGAGGCCAGTCCAGAGTCGCATTAAAATATTATACCATGCTCCAACTTAATACAGCAGCATCCCATGAAGACCCAGGTCCGGCAGCCACAACAGCAGATCAAAATGCCAAGTTATCCACAGGGGTACCCTGCCAAGCTAGAAGCTGTTTTACATTCTTTGGTAGCGCCTCGTCTTCCAATATGGGATTTCTTCAGGTGCAGGTTTATTTTCTGGCATTATGGATTGGCCTCTTCTGCTGTAGGGTAGAGCTGCTTTTTTTTTTTTTTTTAAGTAAAGCCTCCTGCTGGGGCCTGATCTCTTAGACTCCCCCTCACTGTATCATTAGCCAGAGAGGAGTATGTGAGAGCCACTGTCTGTCAGTGGGGGTTTGTCTATGAATGAAGCACCCTACTCCCTATGGGAAGAGGTTGTTGTAGGTTGCTTCATGAGAGTCCTCTGCTGTACACTCCTGTTGGACATTTCTTTAAGAGAGTAATATGTGTGTCTGTGCAATTATTGGAACATTCATGTGATTTTTAGAAAGTCCGATAAAAGACATCAGATTAGATATTCAGGGGACCAGGCTTAATTTTGTTTTGCTATCAAGTGTCCAAGACCTCAAGCCTCATTCAGGTCTATATTTAGATTTGGTTTTATGAAAAAATAGAAAGACATTTGTTTGAAGAAAAAGTGAAATCTAATGCTTATTCTGTCTCTTCCTTTCTATGCATTTCCTTGGATCCTCCCCTGAAGCTGAAGAGTATGCCGTTGAAGGTAAGACTGATGCATTACTTCTCAGGCCCTCCATTGGCTTCCCTTAATGCTGTTGTGGATACTGCTGGCTGCTTGTTAATGCTGTATGCCCTCCCTCTGGGGAGGGGCATTGTCAGTTTGGACTGCGGTTTTAAGTGACTTCCAGGGGGCCTAAATTCCAGTTTGAACATAAGATAAAAGCAACAGATAACCAAACAAAAATATCTCTGTTTTATCTTGTTTATCTTTTTAATTTTTTTTTCTTTTGATTGTGGTTTATTGCTTAAAGATATAAGAATATGACTGTATAATTTACTGCAAGCCAGTTTGGCAGTCTGGAGTCAGGTTACCAGTTAACAAGGTGTTGTTAAAGTTGACATGATATGACATGGTGAGATGCTGTCTTCCTCCCTTTTCTCCCTGTCCTATCTCCAACAAAGGTGAATGAAGGCTGCCAGCTGGGGCCCCTGAGGTGCCTCATTAGCTCTTGGGCCATAGCAGACTTTATGAATAGATTAGCTTGTCTGTCTGCAGGCAGTTGCCTGTCTCCACTTTGCACTGATCAGGAAGGTTTAGCCACTGGTTGACTGAGTCTATTAGTCAGTGAGATCAGACACAGATGGACAGAAACAGGCTTTTTTAAATCTCTGCATTGAGAGGTGAACTGGTGTGTGCATGTGTTTACATGTTTTAGTTCTATTTTTCTCCTTGCTGAGTTTGTAGTGATGGATTACCCAATGCACAACTTGAACCATCAGGGGAAATCACTATGACAAAACAGTTTTGCTCCAGGTTTTCTTTTTAAGTGGGGAACATTAATGCTGCAGTTATTTCTTGATCTTTGCATGAGTTGTTTATCTTCTGGCATGTTGGAAATATAGACATATATGTCATAGTTTTATTTCATTGATATAAATTAATCCAATGAACTTTATATGTATTTGAATTTATTCCTATGCAAGTCAGTTGTAGTGTGTTTGTGCGTGAGTGTGTATGCGTGTGCGTGCGTGAGTGTGCATGCGTGTGCCCTTGCAGCCAGGTCCCTTGTCAGTACCACTGAAGCCCTTGATGGGAAAAAATGTCAGAGGGAAGGTTGGGAGCAGCAGTAAATGGTGGCAATTCTACACATCCTGGCAATACTGTTTGACAGAGCAGCCCTTCTAGGATAATGTAGAGTGAAGTGAGGGCAAGAAAGTTTTGATTGTGAGAGTGAAAAGAAGGTGGAGATGAACAGAGGATGGTGATGAAGAGAAGTGACTTTCAGAAATGCAATCCTTTCTGTTAATCTGATGGCATCTGAATGTGTCAGCTTCATATCTGAAAGAGCACCCTGGTCACTTATCCATAAAAGTCAGGATGGCAGTTTTACTAGGTCAGACAACATTTGCCTATCATTTTAAATGTGAGACAAGTCTGAACGGCATGTAGTTGCACGGATAGGCACATACTGTATAGTACATGATTATGACATACTGGTGTAGGACATTGTTAGTGTAGAGGGCATACTGATCTTAACAGTCTACTGTAGGTGTCTGTGCATGTCTCAAGTGCTTCTTTTGTGTCTTGTTGCTCAGTTTACTGGAAAACATGGATGTATTAATGAGAACAGAACATGCTCAGGTTAATCTACCTTATTGTAGTAAGAAATCTCCGGCATCACGTTACTTGATGTAATGTCCAATCTTGCACATATGGCAAATATCGTGTGCATACCATGGCTCTTTTTGTCACAGTTGTGGGTATGTCTGAATGTCACCCTGAGGAACATTAACCTAAACGTAACCAAGAGTATGTATGAATGCCATAATGCCGTAGCTTTACTGGATTGATGAAGCCAGCAATGTTACCTAGCCCATGTCTTTAAAGGGCTCATGACCAACTTAAGGGAGGTCAGGCATCTCCCGAGGAACACAAAGGTTAGATTTAAATAAATAAATTAAACCACTCTCTCCAACACAGGTCAACATATCAAGGCAATGGCCTAGCCCTTTAGCTGCATTGGCACTGCAGGTGTTTCTTTGCAGTGGACAAGGACATGTTGTGGGTTAAGCTTCCTATTAATTACTGTATGTGGGCTTCCAGCAAACTGGGGCCACCTCTCCTTGTGCAGTAGTCTAGGTGTTTACTCCAGCAACATCATGACTCAAATGTAAAAGATCCCTAGGGTATTTAAATAAGATTCCTCATATTAGGGGCTTATTTTGACACAGAAACGTACCCTGGGGTGAGAACATCATTTTATGGTGGTAATACTAAAATTGAAATCCTAAAATGTAAATGCTATCACCTCAGTTAATTTGTGCTCTACATGTCATGTCATTTAATTAAAAACCAAGATTTATGTCCTCAGTGTTTTGTGTATGACCAAGACAGCTCGATACATTTATTTAATGGCTCACTGTCTCCAATACCAAAACCTCAGAGCACTACTGCACTTTTTTTCTTTACTATTTTTAGGACTTCACTGTCACCATGTTTGGGCTAATTACTGTTGTTGACCATGTGTTAAAGGTTGTTTGAGATTGATGGTGCATAGAGATGCTGAAAGCACCGAGGAGGCCAGTGCCCCCAGAAGGTGACTGGTGGCCCTTGTTCCTACAATGTAGGACCGCGATTGATGAGCTACCTGCGAGACTGACCTGCTTTTATTGGCGAGCCAGCCGCTCAGTGCCATCTGTGTACTGATAGCCAACCATAGGCCCTCTCTGGAGGACTGCATGTGTACTGTATAATTTCATTATGTAATCACAGGTTTACACCATTGCCTGGTACGATGGCGTTCCTATAGAGGTTAATAAACAAATGATGCTATTCATGACAGCAGTGGTAACCTATACTGTAGGTTAGACAAATAGTCTAGATGACCTAGTGGCAGCCTTTTTAACCACATAGATCTAATGGGAGAGTGCACACTGCCAGCTGGGTATCCTTGTGCAAGGCACTGAACACCTTACTGAAATGAATTGTGTTGGGGGTGTTCAGAGTAGTTTACAAAGAAAGAGTTGATGATTTTGGTTTGAATGCATAGAACTATGAAGATGTGAAACAGAAAATTTTCAATATAGGTGTGTGTGGACATCCAACACCTAAAAAATTAAAAAGTGAAGAAATAATACCTAGCTCAGGGAATAAAAAGACATGCTGTTCATTCAGGTGCTGATGGATAGTTATATTTTATTTTTCCTCCAGCTGATGGTCTTACAGACCATAACGATGACCATGAACACAGCTGGGAGAAAAACTGCTCATGTACAATTGGACAATAACAGATCAAATCTAATCCTTATCTCTGTGGTTGGCCTCTGAGACTGGCTGATAGATTTAGTGGCCTGATGCTTTGTTTGGGTGAGGAATGTTCCAAGCTTCCCATGCTGATTTTAATCAATCTGATCAAGATAATAATCATTTGTCTTGAAATCACACATACTTCCAACTTAATATCACCCTTGGGGGGAGGGCAATACATTTTTTTTTCTTCTTTTCCATAGTGTAAAATTGAAGTTTGACACTGGCTAAAGCTACAGGATTATGGGTTTAAGAGAGACCTGTTTTTATAAGAGATTATTTTGGATCATCCAAACCAGATTATGGATTTTGTTCTTGTATGCTCAGGAGAAAAACAAGCTCATAGACCCAAAAATTTGAATGTTTTAAAATTTGTGTGCATCAAGGCAACACAAAAATAAAACACAGTGTACTGCAAATATTAATGTACTGATATCATTGTGGTCTTAACCTAGATTTTGTTTGTTTCTGGAACAAATGGTGCTTGTGCACTATCCTATTTCAAATTCTGATAGATGTTGTTATTTTGAATACTGCTGGCTAAAAGGCAGACCACCTGGGTGACAAACTGTTGATTTTGCCCCAAAATTGAGAACAATAAGATGTTTGTTTATATAAAGCATAGCATAACACTGTTTGTCCCCTTTTGGTCTTTATTTTTTTGTTTATATATACATATATGTGTACAGTGGGTACGGAAAGTATTCAGACCCTCTTAAATTTTTCACTCTTTGTTATTATTGCAGCCATATGCTAAAATCATTTAAGTTCATTTTTTTCCTCATTAATGTACACACAGCACCCCATATTGACAGAAAAACACAGAATTTTTGACATTTTTGCAGATTTATTAAAAAAGAAAAACTGAAATATCACATGGTCATAAGTATTCAGACCCTTCGCTGTGACACTCATATATTTAACTTAGGTGCTGTCCATTTCTGCTGATCATCCCTGAGATGGTTCT